ACACACTTCCTTGTCGTTTGTAGTGAATCCTTCTGCCCCTATCCTTAATTTCATAACCTGTTCCTTTACTGTTGTTTTTCTCCTGATGTGGCTATGCAGCAATTTAGGCTGAGTCTTTGCCTTGCTTGCGATGTCATTTTCGTATTGTCTTTCTGCCTCTCTTCTCATCCTGACATATTCATTCCTGGAATTCTGGTATCTTTCTCTGCTCTCCAGTGTCCTGTTATTCCTATAGTTTCTCCATGCCCTTTTACTTTGCTGCTTAGCTAGCCTACATCTCTGATTAAACCATGGGTTTCTCATCTTCATTTCACTGTTTTCCTTTTGGACTGGGACAAACTTGTTTGCTGCGTCCTTGCATTTTTGCGTGATGTAGTCCATCATATCTTGGGCCATCTTTTCCCTGAGCTCTGTTTCCCATGCTATATCTGTTAGGAATTTTCTTATCCCCTCATAGTTTCCCTTTCGGTATGCTAACCTTTTGGTTTCGGTATCCCTCCTCGAATTCAATAACCCTTCTTCAATCAGGTACTCAAACACCAATACACTGTGGTCGCTCATTCCTACTGGGGCCTCAAAACTGATTTCTCTTATGTCAGAGTCGTTCAGGGTGAAGACCAGGTCGAGTCTCGCTGGTTCGTCATTTCCTCTCATCCTTGTGGGTTCTCTGACATGCTGGGTTAAGAAGTTTCTAGTCGCCACCTCCAGTAGTTTGGCTCTCCACGTATCATCGCCTCCATGCGGTTCCTTGTTCTCCCAATCAATCCTGCCGTGATTGAAGTCCCCCATGATGAGCAGGTGGGATCTATTTCTACAGGCAGCAGAGGCTGCCCTCTCAATTATAGTGTTAACTGCCATGTTGTTGTTTTCGTACTCTTGACTGTGTCTTCTGTCATTTGGTGGAGGGTTATATATTACTGCTACTACTATCCTTGGTCCTCCCATTGTCATGGTGCCTGCTATGTAGTCTCTGAAACCCTCACAGCCCGGGATAGCCATCTCCTTAAAATTCCATTCGTTTCTCATGAGGAGGGCCACTCCGCCTCCTCCCCTACCTTCCCTCTCTTTCCTTAATACTGTGTACTCCTGGGGAAACACGACACTCGTTATGATTCCAGAGAGTTTTGTTTCAGTGAGTCCAATTACATCTGGGTTCACTTCTTGTGCTCTTTCCCTTAGTTCACTTGCCTTGCTTGTGATCCCATCTATGTTCGAGTACATTGCCCTGAAACTGACTCTCTTCTGCTTCTCCTCTGGAGGGACCTGTGGGGTCTGGGGTGAGCGAGAGCTGGGAGGATCTGGTACGGGGAGACTGGTGGAGGAGGAAGGGATTGGGAGGGTAGGGGGGAGGGGGAGGGTAGGGGGGAGGGGGAGGGTAGGGGGGAGGGGGAGGGTAGGGGGAGTGGGTGAGGGGGGGGAGGGGGAGGGTAGGGGGAGTGGGTGAGGGGGGAGGGTTGGGGGGTGGGTGAGAGGGGGAGGGTTGGGGGGTGGGTGAGAGGGGGAGGGTTTGGGGGGATGGGGGGAGAAAGGGGGGTTTGGGGGGGCAATGAAGTGGGGAGGGCTTGGGGGGCGTGGGGGTAAAGGGAAGGCTGAGGTGGTTGAGGAAGAGGGGAGGGTTTTGGGGAGTGGTGGAGAGGGGAAGGCTTAGGAGGGTGGGGGAGAATGGAGGGCTTGTGGGTGGGAGAGATGGGAGGGCATGTGGGAGAAGGGAGGGCTTGGGGGATGGGGGAGAAGGGAGGTCCTGGGGGGAGGGGGGAATGGGAGGAGGGGGGTGAGTGGGAGGAGAGCGGTGGGTGGGGGGAGGGTGCCTTAGGTGGGTACTTAGTGGGGGGCTGACAGGGGATGGGGCAGGTAGGGTGTCTGTTGGGTAGAATGTGGGGGTGGTGCCGCACTCCCTCTGGCTAATGCACTGTTTGAGGAGGGTTCCCCATTCCCCTCTGGGATTGTAAGGATCGGGGGTGTGGTTCCCTGGTTCCTTTCTCTCTCCCTGCACTCCTTCCTCGCGTCTGCTGCCTGCATTCTCTCTTCCCTTGTCATGTCCCTCTGCAGGAATACTCTTTTGAACCTCTTTACATTTGTCAGACAGCACTTCCTGTGTGTGTGTGTGTGTGTGTGTGTGTGTGTGTGTGTGTGTGTGTGTGTGTGTGTGTGTGTGTGTGTGTGTGTGTGTGTGTGTGTGTGTGTGTGTGTGTGTGTGTGTGTGTGTTTGTGAGTGTGTGTGTGTGAGTGTGTGTGTGTGTGTGTGTGTGTGTGTGTGTGTGTGTGTGTGTGTGTGTGTGTGTGTGTGTGTGTGTGTGTGTGTGTGTGTGTGTGAACCATTTTCAAAACTTTTCTCTGCTTCTCTTCTCACCCTGACGTATTCATTCCTGGTTCTCTGGTATCTCTCTCTGCTTTCTGGTGTTCTGTTGTTCCGGAAGTTCCTCGACGCCCTTTTGTTCAGTTTCTTCGCTTCCATACATACCCTATTATACCATGGATTCTTCTGTTGCTTCTCGGATTTTTTCCTTTGGGCCGGGATGAACCTGTTTACTGCCTCCTGACACTTTTGGGTAACATAGTCCATCATACCCTGTACAGACGTATCTCTGAGGTCTGTGTCCCAAGGTTCTCTGAGGTCTGTGTCCCTTAGAAAACTTCTCATCTGTTCATAATTCCCCTTTCGGTATGCCAGCCTTTTGATTCCTAGTTCTTTTTTGGGGGAGATAATTCCTAGCTCTATCAGGTACTCAAAGTTCAATACACTGTGATCACTCATTCCCAAGGGCGCTTCCATCTTAACTTTTCTTATATCCCACTCATTTAGGGTAAATATCAAATCAAGCATTGCTGGTTCATCTTCTCTCATTCTTGTTGGTTCTTTGATGTGCTGGCTTAGAAAGTTTCTTGTTGCCACGTCCAGCAGATTAGCTCTCCATGTTTCTGGTCCTCCATGCGGGTCTCTGTTCTCCTAATCTATCTTCCCATGGTTGAAGTCTCCCATAATTAGTAGTCCAGATCCATTCCTGCTAGCAACAGAAGCTGCTCTTTCTATTATGTTAATGGTGGCCATGTTGTTTCTATCATATTCCTGTCTGGGTCTTCTGTCATTTGGTGGTGGATTATATATGACTACGACTATACTTTTTTTCCCTCCATTTGTTACAGTACCTGCTATGTAGTCACTGAAACCTTCACAGCCCTGAATAACCATCTTCTCAAAATCCCAGCCTTTTCTTACCAGCAGAGCTACACCACCCCCACCTCTTCCTTCCCTCTCTTTCCTTGTGACATAATAGTCCTGTGGGAAGACTGCATTTGTTACCGTTTTCGTTAGCTTTGTTTCTGTGAGGGTTATTATGTCTGGGTTTTCCTCTAGTACCCGTTCTCCAAGCTCATTTGCTTTATTTGTAATTCCATCTATGTTAGTGTACATTGCTTTGAGGCTCACTTTCTTCTGTCCCTTCTCAATTCGCCTCCTTGGTGAGTGTTCTGCTGGTGGGGAAGGCTGTTCCATGGGTGTGAGGACCTATGAGGTGGATAACAGGGTCTCAGAGGATACTGGGATGAGGGGCGGGGGATCCAGTGAAGGGGGCGGGACAGGGAGGGTATGGGGTGAAAGGGGAGGGAGGACAGGAAGGAAAGGGGGGGAGGGAGGACTCGGCGGGAGGAGGGAGGTGTAGAAGGGTGGGGATTGAGTGTGGGGGAAGGGAGATTTGGCTGAACATTTGAGTGGGGGCAGGGAGTGTGTGTGTGTGTGTGTGTGTGTGTGTGTGTGTGTGTGTGTGTGTGTGTGTGTGTGTGTGTGTGTGTGTGTGTGTGTGTGTGTGTGTGTGTGTGTGTGTGTGTGTGTGTGTGTGTGTGTGTGTGTGTGTGTGTGTGTGTGTGTGTGTGTGTGTGTGTGTGCGCGTGCGTGTGCTCAGGTGCTGACCGATGAGTAAAACAGTGTACATAAGTATCTGTGTTGTTGCTAACGAATATCCGAGCAACCGTTGAATATATTTTAAATTTATTTGATATAACACATATTACCCGTGTTGGTCAAGAGTTTGAACTGTTCATATTAAATATTTATGCCTTTCGTTACCTATGTCTTCCTTTGTCTGTCTGCCCATGTCTTTTTTTCAGTCTCTCTCAAAATAAAAAAAAAAAAGCTGTTTACATGTCCGTTCTAAATATGAAATTTTCTGTTTCAGGGCGTGTGGAGAGCGTCGCGCACGACCAGGAATATATATTTTCGTGAGGGCTAAGCGCAGGCTGGGACAGTCTTTGTTAAATGTCGCTTTAGGTAGCGAAAAACCAGCAAGAATCTTAACCCAAATAATCTTTTTTGGCGTGAGAGTTTAGCCCCAAGATGGCGTGAGAGTCCAGATGTGTGGGAACAGATAAACTAGCGATGGAACTCTTAGTGAAAGATATTTAACTAGCGTGGCACGCCTCCGGGGTGTCAGGAAAAGGACAAAAAGGCGGCCGCCAGGACAAACACACACATGCTCAAGTAACGACTAATTAAACAAAAATTACCCTTATCGACTTTGATTCACTATTATATCAACGTCATTTGTGTGAAGGCCGACGTTGGCTGCAGTGATTCAACGTTTATTTTACGTTGAGAGCGAACGAGATGTGTTTAACATAGTAGTGTAGAGGCTGGGGCGCGGTGGACCTCACCATCCCAGCGATCACCCTTGACAATGAAACGTGTCTGGCCTCCAAAGTCAACTCTCCCTCAGTGTCTTCTTTTAGTTTTACTCCTCATAGATCTTGCCACTCCCTCTAATCCACTCCACACCCTCGAGTACGACCTCAGAATGCTTTTGTACGAAGGCCTCTACGTACCAAGCGGCGGCTGGGGGTCCAGGAACGTAGCCCGGACTAAACGTCTCTCTCAGAAACACACTCAGGGGTCTGGACTGAACATCACCTGGCCAGCCAGGAAAGTGGTGGCCATAGAGGGCCACATAATGTTGGGTGGTCTTATGATGGTCCACGAGCGCCACCATGATATGGTGTGTGGTCCTATCATGCCCCAGGGCGGGGTGCAGGCTCTGGAGGCCATGTTGTACACTCTTGACTTCATCAATGATCAGGAGGACTTCATCCCAGGCGTGAGGATCGGAACTCATATCCTTGACGACTGTGACAAGGACACCTACGGGCTGGAGCAGGCCGTCGACTTCATCAAAGGTCAGCTATTTCAACCTCTATTTGTCTCTGTCTGTCTGTGTCACCCTCCCTCCCTTCTTCCACTCTCTGTCTGTCTCTTTCGCGCCTCTCTCCTCCTCTCGTCTCTCTTGCTTTCTTCGGTGTTCTTTCCTCTAACATTTTCCTGCTTCTCTAGTCTCCCTCTTCCTTGTCTTGTTCTCGACTTCGTGTTGGTATTCTCATGTGTTGCTGGAGCCTTATTTGCTGGTCCACTTGTTGACACAGTCTCATCCCCACTCACTCTACCCTCAAGCCTTCCCTTCCACCGTGTCCTACTCTACCTAACCTTCCCTCCCCTCCCTAAGCTTCCCCTCCCCTCCCTAAGCTCCCCCTCACCTTCCCTCCCCTCCCTAAGCTTCCCCTCACCACCCCTCCCCTCCCTAAGCTCCCCCTCACCTTCCCTCCCCTCCCTAAGCTTCCCCTCACCTCCCTAAGCTTCCCCTCACCACCCCTCCCCTCCCTAAGCTTCCCCTCACCTCCCCTCAGTTCTCCACAATCCGCTTATCTTCAATCTGCCACATTCTTTCCTTTCTCAATTTCTTTCTCGTCGTTGCAATAATGGTTTCTCCCCAGATGTTGTTCTTCTTCCTCTTGTTTACCAATATAAACACCTGCATGTTTATGTTTATATCTCCCCCTATTTGCTCTTTGCTGGGTTGAACTTCAACTATTGGGCTCCGGTTGACTGGCGTGTTTGTCATCAACAAACTTTTTGTTGAATAGTATATAAAATTCTTTGATTTTGTATAATTTTATGCATTGTTCACCCTCGAAGATTTGTCACGTCGTGATCATCTCTCCTGCTTCTTGTTCCTCTTGTTCGTTCTTGTAACTCAAGATTTTCGCTAATAAAATATGTCATTAAGTAGACAGCCCTTCAAAAATTCTTTACATAACAGTATTAATATTAATCTAAATATTATAATATATATATATATGTTATATACTAACATATTTTTTTTTTTTTTTTTTTAAAGTTTGTGAGGGTACCACCTCTGGTGCCAATGTGGGGACCCATAGCCTCGGAGAAGAAAATAAAAAGTATTGAGACCTTGTGGTTTCTCACTGAACACTAATATGTTTCTTCTCCTACCACCCCCATTCTTTTGTATGTACACATATATATTTACTTTATTTGAACTTTGTTACAAAAAAGGAGTTACATAAGGGTTACAAAGATGGTTATCATAGGTTGTCGAGTTCCTCCAGCTCCTCAGATGGCGGGCAGGAACCCTGGATGCAGTGAGCATTACCCCTCTGTATCGCCACACTGAGGCGCTGGAAAAGAAAGCTTCCAGCTCTTGGGTCATATATATATATATATATATATATATATATATATATATATATATATATATATATATTATTAAATATGACCGAAAAAGTAAGATTAATAATTCTAACACGAATTTTCTCGATCTTTCTTACGTTTCTTTTCACTGTTGATGGTAATTCAAAGATCAATTCTCCAAAATTCATTTTTATTTCTAGTCTGACGCGACACTTGAGCGCGTTTCGTAAAACTTATTACATTTTCAAAGACTTTAGTTTACAAACACACAACTGAAACTGAATAGAGCTTACACATCTTCGATTTTATATCTACATTTGGGTGAGGTGGATGAGGTGAAAACAAACTTTCAACAGTGGGTATTCAATGGGTATTAAATTCAAACACAAGACAGAACACGAAACAATGGGTATTGAATGGAAGTAATTGTAGAAAGCCTATTGGTCCATATTTCTTGATGTTTCTATGTTGGAGCGGAGTCGAGTGGGTAGAATATGGAGTGGAGTGGGTAGAATATAGTTGTGCATTAATTGGCTGTTGATTGCTGGTGTTGACTTCTTGATGTGTAGTGCCTCGCAGACGTCGAGCCGCCTGCTATCGCTGTATCTATCGATGATTTCTGTGTTGTTTGCTAAGATTTCTCTGGTGATGGTTTGGTTATTGGAAGAGGCTATATGTTCCTTAATGGAGCCCTGTTGCTTATGCATCGTTAAACGCCTGGAAAGAGATGTTGTTGTCTTGCCTATACACTGAGTTTTTTGAGGCTTACAATCCCCAAGAGGGCATTTGAAGGCATAGACGACGTTGGTCTCTTTTAAAACGTTCTGCTTTGTTTCTGGAGAGTTTCTCATGAGTGGGCTGGCCGTTTTTTTGGTTTTATAGTAAATTGTCAGTTGTATCTTCTGATTTTTGTCTGTACGGATAACGTTTCTATTAACAATATCTTTCAGGACCCTTTCCTCCGTTTTATGGGCTGTGGAAAAGAAGTTCCTGTAAAATAGTCTAATAGGGGATATAGGTGTTGTGTTAGTTGTCTCTTCAGAGGTTGCATGGCGTTTCACTTTCCTTCTTATGATGTCTTCCACGAAACCATTGGAGAAGCCGTTGTTGACTAGGATCTGCCTTACCCTACAGAGTTCTTCGTCGACTTGCTTCCATTCTGAGCTGTGGCTGAGGGCACGGTCGACATATGCGTTAACAACACTCCTCTTGTACCTGTCAGGGCAGTCACTGTTGGCATTTAGGCACATTCCTATGTTTGTTTCCTTAGTGTAGACTGCAGTGTGGAAAACTCCGCTCCTTTCCATGACTGTTACATCTAGAAAGGGAAGCTTCCCATCCTTTTCCATCTCGTAAGTGAAACGCAACACAGAATTCTGCTCAAATGCCTCCTTCAGCTCCTGCAGATGTCTGACATCAGGTACCTGTGTAAAAATGTCGTCAACATACCTGCAGTATATGGCCGGTTTCAATTTCATGTCGACATGAATCGAAAAAGTAAGATTAATAATTCTAACACGAATTTTCTCAATGTTTCTTGCATTTTTCTTCACTGTTGATGGTAACTGAAAAATCAATTCTCCAAAATTCATTTTTATTTCTAGTCTGACGCGACACTTGAGCGCGTTTCTTAAAACTTAGTTTCCTGGCAGTATGGGATCGTAAGGTCTCACCTCACATTCTCAAAGACAAAGTCTACTGTGCTTAGAACCTGGTTATATCCTCTTATGGTGAGGTGGTCAGGTGACATATGGATGAATGACATTACATAGGGGGGATATTAATAAGGAATTAAATGTATCAACATAGAGTGTGACATTCAGCAGCTTATGTTCCTGTTGCAGGGTCATTTGGTCCAGTTTCTGCGTTGGACCGGGGTCTTGACGTGGGTAGAGTGTAACATTGTACAGTATTAACTGGTTATTGATTTCTTGATATGCAGCGCTTCTCTGGTGTCTAATCTTCTATTGTCATTGTATCTATTATTTCGGTGTTGCTCGAAATAGACCGAATACACCTGGACCGCCACGGGAGCCACTTGGTGGGCCACCTGGACTACCACGGGGACCACTGGGTGGGCCACCTGGACTACCACGGGGACCACTGGGTGGGCCACCTGGACCACCACGAGGGCCAGTCAGTGGGCCAACTAGACCACCACGGGTGACAGTCAGTGGGCCAACTGGACCACCACGGGGCCATTTGGTGGGCCACCTGAACCCCCACGGGGGCCACTGGGTGGGCCACCTGGACCACCACGGGGGCCACTGGGGGGGGGGGCCACGAGGACCGCCACAGGGGCTACTTGGTGGGCCACCTGAACCCCCACGGGGGCCACCTGGACCACTGGTTGGGCCACCTGGACCACCACGAGGGCCACCTGGACCACTGGGTGGGCCACCTGGACCACCACGGGGACCACTGGGTGGGCCACCTGGACCACCACGGGGACCACTGGGTGGGGGCCACCTGGACCACCACGCGGGCCACAGGGTGGGCCACCTGGACCACCACGGGGACCACTGGGTGGGCCACCTGGACCACCACGGGGGCCACTGGTTGGGCCACCTGGACCACCACGGGGGCCACCTGGACCACTGGGTGGGCCACCTAGACCACCACGGTGGCCACTGGTTGGGCCACCTGGACCACCACGGGGGCCACAGGGTGGGCCACCTGGACCACCACGGGGACCACTGGGGGGGCCACGAGGACCGCCACAGGGGCGACCGGGTGGGCTACCTGGACCACCACGGGGCCACTAGGTGGGCCACGAGGACCGCCACAGGGGCCACCGGGTGGGCCACCTGGACCACCACGGGGACCACTGGGGGGGCCACGAGGACCGCCACAGGGGCCACCGGGTGGGCCACAGGACGAAGATGATAAAGGAACGTAGTTGGTCTGTATCCTCCATTCTTCATAGTTCAGCTCATAGACGCCTTCAGTGGTTAAAAACTCACACACCTAACACTCCATCTATATAAACAGGTTTCTTTAACTTCCGGAACAAGGCAAGGATTCATAAAGCCTTTACATGTCCATTTACGAAGCCTGTATATCTCTCGTTAGTCATGGAGGCTGTGCCTACAGTTATCCCACTGTTTATGAGCTCTGAAGCACTGCCACGTTCTTGATAACAATAATAACCTTGCATTGTGAACTTTAGAACCTGGTAAACTGTTTATAAATACAAACTAAGCCGCCATGATTGACGAGAGATGTACAGGTTTCGTAAATGGAGACATAGATGTTTGTTGAATATTGACCCAGGTCAGAACCCGCAACAATAGGTAATAACTGGAGAACTTTCGGTTTAGAAGAGACACAAAGAAGAACAAAATTGAAAACAAGATATGAAATGAGAGGAACGGGTTGCCAGCATTCATGAACCCAACAATTTAGCAGGCTTCAAAAAATATATTGGACATGTGTATGGGTGAAATAGTGTGTATATAAAGGAAAACCATTTATATCCAGTAGAGAGCAAACAGGTACAATCAGAGTAGATTGTAGGACCATAAAAGCCCCAGCACGACCAACAGAGCCCCAGCACGACCATGAGAGCCCCAGCATGACCATCAGAGCCCCAACAACGACCATCAGAGCCCCAGCACGACCATCAGAGCCCCAGCACGACCATCAGAGCCCCAACAACGACCATCAGAGCCCCAGCACGACCATCAGAGCC